TACAATTATAATAAACGCGAATTCTGACATAATTAATTATTCACTTATTATATTAACATAAAATAAAGCTAATTATTTATTTAAGATATATAATTTGAAAGCGAGAACCCGGTACGAACGCCTTTCAAATAAAAACTAAACTGAAACCACTGCAGAAATCAACAAACTGCAAGGCATGAAAAACGTGAATTAGAGAAAAATTTATAATGCAAATTCACCAGAACCAAATAGTTACAAGTTCTACAACCATTTGGAACTAAGAACTAAGTTTACTTTGTAACGCAATACTCTTTTTCAGAAATAAAAGCAGATATATAATATATATCTGTGCTAATAAAGATAAAAATATTGTGCAGATTAACATAATGATAACACTTACTTATACATATCATTATAATCACACTCAGAGAATTAATGTTGGAAAAGAAAAGAAAACAATTTTTTTTTATACATATTGTACTCACAATGTTTCTTTAAATTGAAAATAATTTTTTTTATATTAAAAATAATTATTATTAGTATGTGTTTAGAAACTTGAGAAAAATGTCTTCAAATTATGTCTCAAATCATTAATTTTATATTGTTTTATAGGATTTTTTAAAATAAAATAAAATCATTTTTAAAAGAAATGTTTTAGGTCAATAGAAAATCATTTAAAACGTTTTTTATATTATTATTTTAAATTATAATTAAATAATATAAATTTTTTAAGCCCTGAAAGTGATCGACCCATAAACGTTGTTGATCCCAACGGTCTTAAGGCAGGCAAGAGTTTCTGCATTAAAAACGAGTAAGTTTCCATGTAAGCCACACTGAGATAGTGTTCTTTAATCAAGAGTTGTATGTATTACTTTCTTATTAAATATAAATATATATATAAGTTCTACATTTTTTAAAAGTTTTTGTTTTTTCATTTTTAAAAGTTTCTATTTTACTTTTTGTTTTTAAAATGCAGTGTATTAAAATTTTTGTTTTTAAAATGCAGTGTATTATATGTTTATTTTTAAAAAGTAAAACGTTTTAAATATATTTAATTTCACAAATTTAATTTTTTTTAAGATTTGATTTTAAAAAATATCTAAAATTTAAATTTTGCATGATAATATAAAAAATTAGTATGAGTGACTCAGTAAAATTTTAATTTTACTTTTTAAAATGCATGCTTTACACTCACCCCTGATATGAGCATATGAAAAGGAATCCAAATTTCACATTCGTAAAGTCATAAAGTCATTTTAGTTTAACTTTCAGATAAAAATATAGAATTATTTATATAAAAAAAAACTATAAATAAATAAAATTAAACAAATACATACAAAAATTATAATTTAAATAAAATTATATTTTAAAACACAATTTGGTATTTGCCATTTTACCATTCAATCTTAAGTGACCTTTAGGTGCTTAATAAAGAGCACTTGATATCAGAAGATATAGAAATAATACTAGAAAATTTCTGTAAAAATAAAATTGAATTTTTATTTATTAGGTTTTAATCATTTTAAAAATTATTATGATAATGAGTTATGAGTTAATAACTGTTATACCATGTTTCCACTGCAGCTAAAACAACTTTTGTTAATGAAATTTTGTCGTTTCCATTGACATAAGTTGATTATTGCATGTGAAAGAGCTTTTATGTGTCAGCAAGTTCTGTGGAAATTCCAGAATAACTTTTATTTATTTACATTTTATATATAAAACATATAATAGAGATTTCAATTCTTGTTAATTTATCTTGTGAGAAATGTATTTTTAAGAGTTTCATTCAACATTTCCAGTCTCATTTCCCTTGATTTATTTTTAACTAATTTAAAAAACACGAAATCTGGTTAATAAAAATTCATTGGTAACCTTAACTATACGAAAGCAGTGGAAACATACTATAGTATGAAGTGTAAATGTACAAGTTTCTCAAACTCACACTCTCCGCAGAGTCTTCAAAGTACCATGGTACATCACCACAAATTATATACTAAAAATCCTCAGAATAGACTGGGTCAAAAAATACATAAGTGACAGATATACGAGAAAACTGACAAGCTTCCATGCATAGCACTTTCTTATCTCAGAGCAGTCACTAGCCATTAAGGGACGGTATGCAGATCTTAAATCAGTCATTGAATAGGAAAGAGTGAAAGTGCCCAGTTGCACTAACTCGGAAAAATCTTGGTATTGTAAAACCCAAGAGCAGTTAAGGGCTGAACAAAAACTGAGCGCATTCCGTAAATAACTGTTTAAAACTCGAAGAGAATGAAACCATTTCAAATCCTAAATAAAGCTTCAAATGCTCTTTAAGGTAGAGTCTTGTAAGACAATAGAAAATTTGGCTTTAGCATATATAATCTTCGCTACGTATGCAACTAGAGTCACTGCAACGACAATTTAATATTTTAGTATGGTCACTTAATCAACAGTGACCCATGAGCAAACCCATTAAAAATCAAATATTGTTGCAGTGCATTTCAGTTTGATAGATTATTATTCACTTAAAAGAAAGATACTAGGTTACAGACTACTGCATTTCATTGAATCCTCCCATCTTGTGAAATTACATCCCAAAATCATTCAAGGATGCGGAAAAATCAAAAATCGTCTATATGTTATTTAGGCTAAATTTAAAGATTATTATTATTTACAGCTGTAATACATTTCACTCTTATTTGAGATTTAAAACCACAGTTTTATGCTGCATACCGGTAGGAAAAGTAAGACACCTCCAACAATCGATTCTTATTCACATAAGTAGTTTTTCAAAACTCTTTGTGATTAACTTACGATATCAAGCACTTATAGTTTGATATTAAGTAATCATTGAAAGAAAATATCAGGTTCATAAGCATTCAGTATTAGTTGAAAAATATGGGGGTTTTTTTATACCGAAACATCTCTATACATTTATTACTTTCTGAGAGTGACAAATTTTGAAATATTTTGGAAAAGATTTTCTATTGACTACTTTATTGATTTCTAATTTTAGATTGATTGGATAGCAAGTAATTTCATAGTTACCACATTAAACTTAAATGTATTTTTGCAAATCCAACTTCGCACTTAGTGATATTGTCATGATATAATATGGTATAATAATAAAGCTTATTGGTAAAAAAGATTTGGAGAATAATTATTCTTTAGTGTTTTCCATTTTTTTTAGTAATAATAAGTTCCAGCAAGAAAAAAATATAGAATTTGCGTATGAGTATAAAGAATTTCTATGAGTATTACTGTGAGTATTCTATGAGTATGAGAACTTGGTTTGGATTGATGTTTTCAACTGCCAGTTAAAGCTGATACAGACAAAATAAATAAATCAATATCAGAAGATCACTTTTAAAAAATCAATTCTGAAATGCATTAACCACGCAACGAAGACCTCATACAAGCCTTTATAATTTCGATGAAATGTATTCTCACTCATACTATATATATTCTTGAAATCGGTCACCTTCGTATAATCTCTTTAAACAGTTTCTACTACTTTTAATGTTTACTTACTAGAAAAATTACTAGAAAAACTACTCGAAAAAGAGCAATGTAATTTAAACCAAAATAGAATTTATAAAATTATATACATTGTTATAGATCATAAAAAATATTTTAAAAATAAAATTAAATTATTTTTCGAAGTAATTAGCTAGTTAATTTAAGCGAGCATCGTTGGGATGTTCTGCTCAGTTCTGTTTAGTTAATAAAACTGTCCGGTTGAAGAACATATTTTTTGCACGGGTGAGGAGTAGGTCCATTTATAAGAGCGTCTGTTTATCAAATTTCATACTCAGTGGCGTCGCTAGGCGTCAGCAATGTCGGTGACCGCCGACGGCCTCGCGCCCAAAGGGGCCTCGCAAAAAGTTACCGACTGTGGATTCTAAGCACTTAATAAATATTTTGAACAATTTGGTTTGATGATGGCATTAACCATATTCGAAATATTTCCGAATGTTAATATAATAACCAGTTTCATGTTCACAGTTCCAGTCAGTATAGTTTCGACGGAAAGAAGCTTCTCAAAGTTAAAATTGATTAAGACGTACTAGAAAAGTATGATGATCCAATAGAGACTATCTCCATTGGAAATTCTATAAACTGAAGCAAAAATAGCAGATAGCGCAAATTATGATATAATTTTAAAAAAAATTGAGTGAAGCTAAAAGTAGGAAAATTCATTTATTATAATTTGTGTTTATGTTAATTTGATTTGCGATAAAACTTTCAATCATGCTTTGTCATATTAATGAATGTAACTTATTTACTTTTACAACTGGATTATAAAGGGGGCCTCGCAATTCTAATGTCGCCGACGTCCAGAGTTGGTCTAGCTCCGCAACTGTTCATACTATACGAGTACACAAAAAATCAGTTGTATATAATTTGTCCTGACAAAACAGTTTAGAACTCCGAGAACCGCTAGACTAGCTTAAGTTAATAGCTAATATTATATAAAACAAATATCAAACAAAAAATAATTAATTATTTTTAATTTATTAATTTATTCATTTTTGTACTATTCACTATATTATAAATATATTTAAATACTTAATAAGTTATTTATTTTTACAACACTCTTAGTTATGTTATACAAAATATGAATATAAAACAGTATTTAGTATATATATAAATTTAATAATTTAAAATTAAATAAATAAATTATAAATATTAATTAAATAAAATTAAATAAATTTTAAATTATTATATCAATTTTAATTTTAAAAAAATTTTATTGTTTAATAAATATTAATATTAAACATTAAATATTATATCAACACGTTTCTCTCATTTTCATTCTTACTGGTTAAACATTATTATTTATAATTTCTTAAAAAATATATAATATTAATATAAATATTAAAAACAAATGTTCATATAGTAATAAAAATAATTGTACATTTCTTATAAAAGAAATAATAATAACTAATATAGCATTCTTAGTAGCATTATCATTGTTACTTTTAATATAACTCTATATACATTAGCGAAGCTTAAAAAAAATATTTCAACAAATCGGTGGTGATGAGTTTAAAAGTCGTCCCATTTGTGAAAGAACGTTCCATATATAAAACTTATATATAATTATATTTCATAAAACTAAATATCACAAAGTCATGAGTGAGGTTCTTTTAAACTTTATGTTAGTATCGCATTTGAGATGACGCAGCCATTGCTGCATCATACGAAGGTGGATTCATGGCATAATTTTGACCGAATGTTGATTGAAATGGATTCATACTGAAATAAGAAATTTCATTATTTTCTATATATTATTTCTAATATATTATATATATATTTGTTACATTGGTTGTTGTTGCATTCTATTCGAATGTATTTGCATTGGAATTGCCACATGTGATCTTGAGAAGAAATTAACGTTCAAATAAATTATTATATTGTTAAAAAAAAATACTAGTTCTTACGGTTGTTGGTGTACAGTGGAAACATTTGATGATATTTGCATAGTAGGATAATCATTAGGTGCAGTGTAGGAAGCTGATGTTACTCTGATTGGAGCTGAATACAGAAATAAAAATATTTTAATAATATTAATATTTTAATCAAAAATTTTTAATATGTAAAATTAATTTTAACAATTTTTTAAGTCACATTATATGTTAATATAAAGATGTTTTTCATTATTAGAATTAAACACAAATAATCATACTTGCTTTAAATATGGTATATATGAGTATTCACATGCATTATAGTTTATATATCATACTTGCTTATATATGATTATAAAGTTTAATTTAACTGAGACTTTTGCACTAAAAATCATTTCTGGATCATTGGTTGAACAATGATTATCTTTGTCAATAAGATACATAAATTAAGACGCAGAATACTTCAAGTTAAAGAAGAATTTAATGTTATCGGTATTATCCTATCATAAGTAGCAAAGTTATTTCGGATCGTCTCTTAAAGATTAAACTAAAAAATATTGTATGGTTTGAAGAAGGCACATTTTTGATTTATAAATACTGCTCATAACACCTCTTCACTGAAAATATTTTCAATATCTCAAAATTTCGTTTCTTCGAAAAGTCATAATCATAAGATAATGTGAGTATTCGTTTTAATATCAAATTAGATACAAATTATTTAAAACAAATCAATCCTAACAATGCTTCAGTAAAAAAAAACCATAATATATCAAAAATGATCTGTCTGAATAATGTAAAGCAGGGCTGTTCAGAATAGATCTATTGGCTAGCAATAGAAATTACTTTACAGATTGGAGAGGCGCAGAAATAAACACATACGTTCATAGTTGTTTTCTACAAAAATAAAAATATGGTTATAATATTAAATTTAGTTTTATTAATTTATTATTTTAAATTCATTTATTTGGCATACCAGAAAAATGAAATAATGTAGTTTTACTATAGTACACCAAAAGATAATTAGCGCGATTGTGGTACATTAAAAACTGCCCCGCGGGCCGGAAAACCCGCGGGACGTGCTTTGAACAGCCCTGAAATAGCATGCATCACTTTTTAGTCATTTAGATACCATTTCAATTTCTGTAGAGCTTTCCATTTTTTTCATAAAAGGGAAATCAATTTTACACCAACGTTATATATGTTACAAGATTTCTCTAGATGATCTTTAGATTTGTGGAGGCCTCTTAAATTAAATTTCTTTCTTTTTTTATATTATATTGTTAACAGCCGCGTAGCCAGAATTCTTTAATGTAATAAGATTTAATATATTAATTGGTGTAATATTAAATATTTTTTTTTGCAGTTTTCGCAATATATTATTTATTGATTATATTTCATTTCTACAGTTCTCATTTCTATTATTTACAAAATATATGGAAATATAGTTGGAAATATAGTTAAGTTCAAAATTAAATCCAATCGAATTTATTATTTAATAATAATGATTATCTTTTTATTTTTCTTTTTCTTTGCATTCTATTTTATTAATGGGTCATTATCTGTTAGATTATATTATTTATTATGCTATATCTTTTTTTATATGAAGAATCAATTATTTATTTTATTATACTATGGTTTTTTAGCTTTACCTAATTTACTTTAAATAAGTTATCAGTTATTGATGATAATTATGAGACTAAAACTGCATTTTCAAATATGTTTTCATATTACTAATATAATGTTCAATTTTATAGGTATATTTTCTATTTCAAAATATATATACATATACAATAATAAAACGCAAATTAAACAAAATTAGATAACTAAATCAAAGTTCAATATATGATCACAACACAAAGACTCTTATTTATATAATTTACTCGTATATATAGTATAGTAACATTATAAACAATTCTTTCCACTTATTCTGGAACACCATAAAAAAAAAAACTTTGAATAAAATATGTAATAAAGTGCTGCATCAAAACATTCGTTTTTGCAGTCATTCGTTTAATTCTCAAATGTGTACCATATTTACCATATTTCCATCGGAGTAAACAGTCCGATGGAATGGAATGTGTGCTGCATTTGTTTCAATGGAGTGGGGGTTGATTTGTTCTCCATAATCGTTTGTTTTGAATTTTAAAATCAAATAAACAAATACTTTGAGAATATTTCAATCACTTTGAGAGTATTTCAATCACTTTGAGAGTATTTCAATCACTTTGAGAGTATTTCAAATAATTCTCTTTTTGCAAAGAAATATTTTATATACCATATTTTGTGTGTCGTCGGTTGCCTGCGCAAAAGTAAGGAAAGGTGGATGTGCGTAGAGATTTGGAATAATTGCAACAACAAAGTATGTAAAGTATGTAAATTAGGTTTAATTTTCTATTAGTGGCACCCAACAATGCAAAAGTTGCTTAAGCAGGTAGATTTAATACAAAGGGTTAACTAATAAAAACAGTTTGCGCAGAATTTTCTTCTTTGACCTTAGTTTTATATGATGTAATAAAATAATTCGCCTCACATATTTATCTTTCCCTAGAAAATATTTTTATGTATGATATGGTAAAAATATTTATTTGTGTCTTCTTGAGTCAAAAGAGATTTTTAGAATGCTTAGAAATTGATTCAGGTTATAACTAATATAAAAATATCTCCTTGAATATGTACTCAGTTTCTATATATATTGTATAGATTTTTATATAAATATGGAATTTAAGTAGAGATCAAAACACAACAATCTTAAAAAAGAGGAATTAAGTCAGGCTATGCTAAACATTTAGTTTATATATTAAATTAAATTTGTAATTTGTAATATTTTATATATTAACTTTAAAAAGCAAACTAAAATTACTATAGAGCATTATTTCTCCTCAAATTTTTTGTATTAAAACTGTAAAAAAACCCTTTTTTTTATTTAAAAGCCATTTAAATAAATTTTTGTTCAAAATTTTTTTTATATTTCATAAATATATAAATATTGTTAACATTTTAAATAATATTTAATTAATAAAACAACTTAAATAAATAAATTTGTGTCTTACTATTTAAAAACACATAATTTTTGCATGAACTGAAAATCAAATGCTTAGAGTACTCTCAAATACTTCAACTAATTTTAGAATGTTGAGAGTTAGAGTACTCCAAAAAACGAAACTAATATTCATTCCATTCAATTTTGTTTTTATGCGCATTCATTCGTATTCGTTCGCTGAGAGTGAGAGTATGCTACCATTCTCAACACAATAGAATGCTTTTAAATTGAAATCAAATACGTGCATGCAGTACTTTAATATGTAAGCCATCAATAACTAACGTACAATATTTTAAACTTAGTAGAAAATTTCCATCTCTTTAAAACTAGTTTTTTTTAAATACATTAGAAATAATTATTCATTTATTTACGGGTATTTCAAGTAATTGAAGCGCGCGAACTCAATATAAACAATTATTAGTAAACTAACCAATACTTTATAGCACGTTTATTGGAATTTTTTTTAAAAAAGGTAATTATTTTTAGAAATGTAAATATAATTTTATTATTAATGTATACGAGAGTGATTCCCAATCGTTTACAGAGAGTTTCAATTCTCAACTTAAAATTTACGTCATGAAATGCTAATAAAATTGTATTTTATATAAATAAAATTTAAAATTTTTTCCATATAGAAATTTATTAGATGAAGATTATTCTGTATAAAATAAAATTCATATTGTATATTATATATTTTATTTATACACTTAAGCCGTTAAAAGTTTAATATTCTAATACTCTGTTTTACTGAATGAGAGACGACTAATGTAATTGTCTTCATAATTAATATAATTGATATAATAAATAAATAATAAAAATAGTAAAAAATATAAAATATTCAATTTTTATATAAAATATAATATTAAATTATATTTATATTACAGAAACAGTTTGCTTAAAAATAACGGAATAATGTGCCTAGGAATATTTGCAGTCGTTACTTTGACATATACATTTATTACTAAGACAGTGCTTAAAACTTAATTAGAAAAGAAAAAGAATGCCTAAGGTAAAAATGTTTATCTATTATCTATATTATCTTTATCTATATTTGTAGTAAGTTTATTAAAAACACGAAAATCGTATTTCTTAGAATTAAACATTTTTATATTATTATGTTAAGGCTAATTGAGTCAGTGCACCTAAGCACTTTTACTCTCTATTAACAGCGAGGTTTCTTTAAAACCCCTCTTTGCGCCTTGACTGGATTATTTTTTATCACTTCATCAGACTAAGCAATAATTGACCTCTGATCTGCATATCGCCCCGAGAAGCCTGTAACCACATTTTTATAATCAATTTAAAAACCTCAACCTTTAAACATCAATTCGTTATTGCTAAGGATATCTGTGAGAACGGACGCTTGAGCCGAGCAATCTCTAACTACCCTAAATACGTTGAAAAATAAAAAAAGGCCTTGTTTTTTGTGCTGTAGTATTACGAAAAGCGTAAGTTAAATACAGAGTATAAACCAATTAAGAACAGAAAAAAATACTATTTTTAGGCAATAATCCAATATTCAAATGCCTGAACCGCAAGAGTTAAATATGCTTAAAGAGTTTATGATAATTTTTAGTCAAAATTTGTAGTTTTTATTAAATAAATATTTTATATGTTTTCAATTCTATTTTTAAGATATATATATTACTTTCATGTCGTTTCTACTTACAATTTAAACTTGGCCCATGTAATTTTTGCTCCATTCTGTTTAAGTAATGACAAAGGCAGGAACAGAGTAGAAAAAATATCACCATTGCACCTGCTATTGATAGAAATATATGAAAATGGGAATACATTTTAACCACTTTATTTTTGTTCGAGTACAAAAATATATTTTTATTTATTTATATTTAATATTAAATAATTATTGTTATAAATTTATTCCGCGCACTTAAATAACGTACGTAGTCTTTAAACAGAATTTAATAAACTCAACTTCTAAAAAATGTGAACCACCTTTTAATGCACTCCCTGTATTCTAAGAGAATAATTTCAAACAATTGCTTAGATCGGTTTATTTGTTAATAAATGTAAATAATTAAAATCAAGTATTAATCGTTTGTTTTTAAGAGAAGCTGAGATACAGGTTTAGAGAAACTACCATATGAAACCGAGTCCGATGTTTATTGTGATATTACTTTAAATTGTATATCACATTTATAGTATTGGGAAAATCCATTATTTTTTGGAAAATATAGAAATTATGTGAAAAACTGTAATTAATTTGTACCCTTTTATACTCTATAAATATATGGTTACGTTTAACTAAAATTTCCTAAATATAAATTAAATAAATCAAAATTAAATAAATACATAATTTCTCAGACAGTCGGGTAATTTAAGCTCGAATCAAAGCATTTGTTTTTGTACCCTACACACATAAAAAAATATTGTCAAATAGGTATATGAGTGATTTTACGAAGCTCTTTCCACTATCCAACAGCAATAAAGTGATTTGGTAAAAAATAAACTGAAATAAATTTATAATTATTATAAAATAATAATTTTTAATATACAAGTAATATAGAACTCAAAATATTTGCAACGCATTAAATGAAACTAAGGAAACCACATATACCATCTATGTTTTTGTTCAGCAAGTTGAGACAAACCGATCTAGCCATATTCTTCTGTCTATTCATTTATTTGGATGTAATCATTTATTCACTAGCTAGCAACGGAAATCGAATTAAATTCAATACTGAACCATTTTATAAGTCCATAGTATAAGGTGCGATTTAAATATAAACGAATCAAACATTGTGGAAATAAGGATTATAATTATATTAAATAATTATAATGCTTTATAAATTAAAAATCCAATGTATATATATATATTATATATTCCAAAAGGAATATATAACCTGTTTTCGAAAAATAAACACAACTTTTCAGTATCGGTCATTTTATGGAGACTGTTATACTTCCTTTAAATACAAAAATATTGTTCTTTGTAATCTAAATCAGAAATGTTATATAGAGTACACCTTTGATTAAACCTTGGTTACGATGACGAGACTTACTGTGACTGATCACATCCGTAAAAATAGTGTTTGCCACCAATAAATGTTTGAATCTACGTTTTATGAGTAAATCAGAGTGGATAATAACATGTTATTCACAGTTTGACCGTTATTAAAAAATGGTAACTAACATCTACTTTCTATAAACTAAACCTATTTGCCTTAAATAATGATTCGACGATTATATTTGCAGTACATTAATGTGATATTATAAGAACATTACGGACAACTTTAGCATACAACTAAAGAAAAATTTGTGGTGTAATATACATATAAATAATAGAAAAATAATTTAATAAAATAACAGTAATATATTGTTGTCTAAACATGTTATTGAACCAATCATTGAAGTTAAAACTCTCACGCCGTTAACTTCATGAATGTGTTCTTCAGGTCAAGAACACATCAGTTTTATTAATTACTCATTGATAGGTACTCCGCTATATGTTGCTTTTATCGGCTTATACATTAATTCTATATATATTTAGTTCGTGAGATATAAGGGTATATCTATATAAGTATAGTTCACTGCTCGTTAGACACATTCTAATAATTTTTTTTGTGTGTTGCTTAACTTAAACAAGCATAATAATGAAAAATAGATTGAGTTGCAGTTCCTTCTCTAAGTAATTTATTCAACATTTCATAATCGTTAGATATCGTATTATTAGAATCATACAATATAAATAGAGTACAAATATTACCTAATATTGCCCCCAAAATTATTCTTTAATTAGAAAGTAATCAGTCTTACAATTCCTTAGAACACCAATACCAGAAAACGAACATTGTTATTCCAAACACATATAAAGGTTATAGACCATTTCAACAAAGGTTCTATTAATATACTTTACTCATACCAACAGTTTTCATTAAATATTATGTTGATGTTAAAATACATGTAATTTCCAAATCCTTCAGAAGATCTGACAAGTGGAAGAGATGAAACCATTTCATGAGTTCGATATAGTACAGTGTGAATTTATAATTTATTTGTGATTACCATAAAGTATATTGCTATGTCCAGATGATCCATATATAGTCAAGACAGTTCCTGCTGTATGAGAATATAATAATTTTTCCTTCCTTAAATTCTACCTTCTATATTGATTAAGAAGGCTTTCATATTACATTTTGAGTTAGACTTAATATATGTGTTCTTTTATTATTAATTAAAGAATTATTCTTAAATATCTGGTGATTGTATGGAATACACTGATATCGAACTGCTGTCATAACATATATTAACTTATACAAAACTTCGAATATTTAATACCAACAAAATGGCAGTTCTATTATATGATAGACGCTAATTATTCATGAAACAAAATTGTTACCTCTTGAAATAATGGTTGTATTTCTTTAAAAATAATAGACTAGGACACAAAATCGTTGTAGGAAGATAAAATCACTTCCATATATACATACATAGACACATTGGCGCGACACTAAAAATAACCAGGTTGTTCGTACTTATAACTGAGGTAGAACAGAGTTGAAGCTATTCGCAGATTATCTAATGGATCTCTATGACATGTGTTATCAGCTTAACAATATGGATCGATTTGGGGAGACAGTATGTTGGAAATGTTTAAATGCAGTTGAAACGTCTATTCAGATTATAGCTTTTACCAAAGCAGGACAGTCACAAAAAAAATATTGAGTCGGAAACATCTATTTCTCTCTAATATTAAAAAATCCTCAACATGACATGTTTTGACCTTCATTGGTAGGGCTGATTTTCTTCTGTATTACACACAGCTATTGCAACGGTAAGCTAAGTTGAAGAAAACAAATTCCTCTGAATTTGTATTCTATTCTAAACATAAAGTGTCTAAAGTAAAAATTAGTTTGTATGTGTACATGTATAGTACGCTATATGTAAAATATTTAAGTATTTTAAAATATTTTAAACTAAAAGCTAACTTACTATAATACAATTACAACACAATTTTGATACAATAAAAATAATTTTAAAAAATAATTAAACATTAAAACCGAAAATAAATATCACCAAATGAACTAATAAAAGAAAATAAAATAAAAAAGGTTTTTAATGATTTTAATTTAATTTTCTTTTATTTTTGAAACTTTTTGGAACGAAATCTATTGATCCCCAAAAATATTACCATAATTATTACTTGATACGCAAAACCAAAATATTTCGTTTGTTTTTCTTTTTTTTTATATTTTTATTAAAGGAAAAATTAATAAAAATTCATTGTGTAAATATAAATATAAATTAGTCCCTAAAAATAAATATTTCATTCAAATATATATTTTTTTTAATACATAACTGCTGCATTCTGTTCGTTGCATATACATTTTTTAAATTAATTTGCAAAAACTATATAAAGTCGTAACAATATATATATAAAGGAAATTACTGAGTTCATATACATATATTAATCATTTTGTGAATAGTTTCATGTAATAAAAAAATTAATAAAAAATTGCATATTACATTTAAGTAATTTATTAATACATTCACTAAATCGTACTTCATTTTTTATGTATTATCTTACATTAGATCACAACAATAACTATTTATAATGATTTATTTAAAACTGATTTTTAAGTTTAAACATATGGGTTCTGTAGTTTATATATCAAATGGAGTTTTGATATTCGTGAAGCAATTCATTTGTGCTATTTTCGTATGGCATAGATCGGAATACATTTCACTTCTTTGAATGTCTAATTCACTGAGTGCACTACTTAAACATTTAAATGTGCAGATTGACATATTTTTATAAAATTTATATATAATAATAATATTTCACAATAACACAATATCGTATTCCTTTGGTTCGTATGAAAGAATGTGTAGCACATTTCATTTAGTACAGGAAACACACCATTGAAGACACATTTTTACAGGATAGTTTTAATGGAGACAATGTACACGCACATAAGTATTAGCCCAATTTAATAGAAATTTTATAGAAATATTATTTAAATATAAACATAAAATGCTATAACTTATATGTTAGATTGATTGTGTAAGACTTTATTGTGCCGTAAAACTTGGATTATATGGCGCTTGTTTTTCATAGGCAGATTGATTTGGATAACCGGCACCAACACCAGCCACAGCCACATCATATGATGGTGGATTCATTGCAGAACTTTGTGCTCCCATCGGAGGGTATGGAGCCATATGAGGTTGCATGCTGTAATTACAATATAATATTTAAGTAAATTACTTGTCATAATATGTAATATAATTTAAGTGTATAATTAACTTACCCTCCTGATGGTTGCATTCCAGGCATAGGCATTGGCATTGGCATTTGCATTTGCATATGTGGTCTATGTATAAAAGTAATAAAAAATTTTTAACATATTTAAATATTAATACAATTTAATGAACACTTACTGTTGATGAGTGGGGTAAGGTGCCACTGTAACATTTGTTTGATAACCACCTGGCGGAGGCATTTGTGTAACTGGATAACCACCAGGCGCAGTATGTGTAGCTGAGGTAACTACAACAGGCGCTGAAAATAAATAAATTTAAAATTAAATTAATAAGATTAAAATTTTATGTTTCATATTAATTTTATAAATATTATATAAAAAATTTTCTTTTTACTGAATTAAAATTTTATTTTCGTAATTTTCAAAAATATTAATAAACTATAAAAATTAAATTCAAATACAAATGTATACATATAATTATAACATTTATAATACATTAATGTAATTGAATTTTAATTACTATCTTTTTCATTAGAATCCCCATTTTCAACTTTATATTTTCTCTTATGAAAGCGACGATGATACACAAAACTATTAATTTTCCTAAAACCCAACCAGATGCAATATATGGTTTATTATGAAAAATCTCAGTTTGATTATCATGTGAATAGGTTGAATTTACGAAGTCCTCAGGTGAAATTTAAGTTTCTTGCTCCATACTGTATCTACTCAATGGATCTGTTATTACTAACACTTTGAATTTAACATGGTAGACAGGATTGCTGCACTTATTTCATTAACTGTCAATTTGACCTATTGATTTGCATTAATAAGCGTAATTAAATATATTAAATAATATATTAATAATAATTAATATAATTCAACATAATCAAAATGAATGAGACAACATCAAAATATGAACGTTACTGATAACGTTGTGTTATCATATAAAACTTTGTGATTTTAAAGAATCTAGAACACCTTATAGAGCTTAAACCTTTTTCCGTTTAATTTTTTTGAGCTTTTCTCATAGAATTTTATCCTCAACAATTCAATTAGATGCACCATAATAAGAATTGTTCCTTTTAATACTTTTCAAATTCCTCTATTAAATACTGCTATTTTACTAGCTTCAGGAATTACAGTTCTATGAGTTCATCATAGTCTAATAGAAAATAATAATTCGCACAATTCACAATTTCATTAGAAATTTATTCTAATATACTTCAATTCTTCATGATAATGAGTTCTTGGCATATTTAATCTTCACTACGCTTACAACAAGAATCTTTGAAAAGAAGACTCAATTTTTCAGTATGGCTATCTAACCGACAGTGACCTATTAATAAACCCACTACACAAATCTTTAAAAAATAATCGTTTTGGAGATTATTTTAAAGACTGGATCCGTTGTATTTAGATGATATTGTCATAGAATAGAAATAAACAGGATACCAGCTCCCAATTATGATCGCAGACACTGTGACCATAGTTGATGTTTGTGCTGCTATGATTGTCATAAATAATATCAGAATAATGTTGTCATAAAGAAAAAATTATTAAGATTAAAGTTATGAAATTAACATTATTTTTATCAAACTGCGCTTTTTATATGAATTTTTATGACTAAATGAAAGTTCGTGGTATGATGTCGTCATTCACAGGCGATACAACACTGATAATAAGTCGAGTCAACTTAATTCAGAGGTGTGAAGTATTCAACTTCACTTATTTTTTGACGAGTTAATTAATTTAATTTCATAATACTGTTGGCTTAGTTTTAATAATTTTTTTTTAATGTTATTCATTATTAAATTAATCGCAACATTTTTTTAGTTTTATAAAATGTTTTTAAGGTTTTTATAGTTTTAAAGATTTAATAACACATTTTACTATTTTTTTATTTCTTTTGATATAGTATTCACTCTCCGCCTTACCTTCCACAACATATCCTTTATTTTGCTGAGCTTTATATCTCCGTACAATATATAAAGTCACAAGAAATGACAAAACGAATGACATAAAAATGCAAAAGGATAACCAAAACATTATTAAAGATACGGATTTCTATATATTATATATAAAATCGGATTTACGAATATAAATTCCACGTTTATGTTCACTTCAGTAACTGCGACGTTGAAAACTGTTCGTTGATATTTAATCAATATCAAATTCAATAATATTGTTAAGAAAAATAGAAAAAGATAAGACTTTATTATATATAACAACTAAAATTGATATCGTTTTTATTGCTATTGACAATAAAGATTACAAATACCAAAAACAGCTTATAGTAAGGGAGAAATATGTTGGAGTGAAATGAGTGAAAATCAAAAAAATTATTAATTGATAATTATTATATATTTAACAAACCATTAGAACCTTGTTTTTTCGAACGTTTCCGAATTCGTCCACGCATTACGAAAATTGCAACGGAAGTCACTACAAATATTAACAAACTAACACCCAAACAGAATACCAGACTTAAATCCATTGTAGCGGAAAAAAAAACAATTTTAACCGAAAAAAGTTTGAACAGAAACTGCAACCGTAATTTAACTGAATTTATTTAAAACGATTTAATTCTCAAAAATCCATTAATGAAGCAAAAGCAAAATATTTAAACATGAGAGAAAGAAATGAAAACCTTTTCAGATAAAATACTATTTATATATGTTTTTTATAAAAAAAAAAAAAAATTGATAAAATATTAAAGATAAGATGTACGAGAAGTGATTAATCTAATAAAAGAGAAACGAATTGTTTTCATTATCTCGCATCGCAAAATGTATGAGTAATAATTTTAAATACAACGCCCTCTATGCAGAAAAATTGTTTATACTTAAATTCAAATATGTTACTTAAGAAAAAACTTGGATGTCAGGATGAATCAAAAGTTTGGCATATGACATCCAAAAGAAATCACTAATAAGAATAATAGCACATACTTAGGCTACGTTAGGTTACGTTATCGGTACCGTCCGAAGACGCACTTAGACCATGAGGTACATTGTGACACCCTTAAGAATTTGACACCTGTCGCAAGACACTGTAACAGATACTTATAAAGTATCTACTTCTAAATAAAATATAAAAGTAAAACTAAAATGCAGTACTACAAAGCATTTTTATATATCTTATCCTACTTGGAAACGTATCGATCCGACATCTGTAAGACAAGGAGACAATCATAATGAACAACAATGGCTGTCACTGAAGACATTTTCTAACTTTCAGCGGACAATGTCATCGAACATAATTCAAACAAGTGGGGGTTATCAATATCCTATTTACATGCTCTTTAATTGCAACTACAGTAAAAGCTCGCTTACACCTACAATAGTGTTTTAAATATTTTTCAAACTCTAGGTAGTTTTAAACGTGTTAATTCTACGTATACACTGGCTTAACTTTTAGCAAGATTTTTGCACTAACTCACACTTTATCACTAATAAAATAATAGGTATTTGCTTTCGAATATAAAATCTTGCCTAAGTCTTGCCGGTGTAGATGGCGTGTAACAGACGGCAGTAGCCGGTAGCAGACAGTTAACAAAACAACGATTTTATTCGGTTAAGAAAACTATCACTCTATGAAAAAGAACATGCATTCTATGAAAAATGAAAACTATGAACTATCAAAATTACTTTGTTAAGAGAAATGACCGTTGATGAGATCGATTGTTTAACCCAACTTTTAATATATTTACTTAAATAAAAAGTTAAATTATATACTTATCACATATAAGTTATAAGTATACGAGTTCAACACTTATTGCATGCAATCTCAAAAAAACTGTTTACAAATAATTATATATAAGAAATTATACCAAGACCACTGATGACAGGTATTTGGCAATACTTGAAACAGCTTTATGGTTAGCTAAAAATTCAATTAATTAATAATTAATAAAATTTTATTCTTGTAATTTACTACTGTTTAAAATACATCTCTATTGAAAACAATATATATATATCTTCTTCTATATATATAAAAGAAAGATGTGTTATTGTTACACCACTTATAACTCAAGAACGGCTGAACCGATTTAGCTGAAAATTGGCAGGGAGGTAGTTTAAGGCCAGGAGAAGGATATAGGCTGAACCGATTTAGCTGAAAATTGGCAGGGAGGTAGTTTAAGGCCAGGAGAAGGACATAGGATACCTGTTTATCCCGTTCACGACAAAGTAGGTTTTGAAATTATCAAATTTTTGATATAAGAAAATATTTTATTAAAATTTAACAGATAGAAATATAACTTAGTTAATGTGTTTTTAAAAGTTGTATTAGATCAATATAAGTTTGTGTTGCAATAAATATCGTTTTTAATCAATAAAACTACCTGGTTGTTGCAAACTCAACAAAATAAATAATTAACAATTATAATGTATGGTATGGTTGAAAATTTGAGTTTTTAGTTTTTTAATAATGCCGCGACCAAGACGATCGAATCTTTCCCGACAAAGCCGTAATGCAAGAAGAATACGAAATACTGCAAATTTAAGGACTGAAGGTCGAGCGAACAACAGAGGTCAACAAATAGATAATTTGCGATGTGTACTAAAATACACAAATAAATTATGAATGATTAATGTAGGTATTTTTTTTTTTTTGTATTTTTTCCAATTAAAAAAAAACTGCTTATTTATTGCCTTTAAGGCGGAACAGAGTTCGCCGGGTCATCTACTAGTTTAGAATATATTAAGAATTTATATTAAGAATTTAGTTTCTTTCGTCAACTTATTACATATATATAAAACAAAAAAAAAACAAAATTAATAATATTCTTTAATTAACTCTTTCGTACCTATAACTTTTCTCCTATATCTTCTACATCGTCTAGCCAAATATACAACACATATACTCAAAGTGATGTAAACAATCATTTTAAAAATTATAAAGAACACATAGGTTTCCCTGTTATTTTTAGGCATCCCTTCATCCACTTTTTCTAGAAACTTTTTCAATTCAATTCTTGTGGGAAGTTCAAAAGTTCCATCTGCTATATATATCTCTGTCACATTCTCTATATAGACGTACATATTAAAAAATTATTATATATACTCGTATTATTAGCAAAAATAAATTTATTTAATATCACTTGCAACTGCCGAAAAGCTAAAAACCAACTAAAAGTAATTATTTTCGTCGAATCACAAAATAATCGATTTCACTACGTATTTTACTGAATATAAACAATTAAATAAATAGACATTTCTTTTATTTATAGCTAGTAATCGATGTGAAAGGACAAGAAAAATAATGCAATTTGAATGACAAGGAGATTTGATTGATT